GGCCCACAGAGTGCTACCTCTGCCTGCTAGCACCAGCACAAAGCTGCCACAGATGGCTGTGCCTGCCCTCCAGCTGTGGCAACTCTATGCTGGGGCTGGAGCAGAGGGTGCCTTCCCCCCACCTCCAGCCGCATCTGCTCCATGCTGGGGCCAGAGGAGCAGAGGTGGCACCTCATGCCTCTCCTCTAGCCGTGGAATCCAACCCAAAGCTGGCCCAGAGCTGCTGCCACCAGGGGACAGATGGTCTGTCCATGGCTCCGACCCAGCTTAACCTGGACTTGCCCCAGCCGTGGGGCAGGCACCCCTCCCCAGTTGTGCCCACTGGAGCTGCAGAGGCCATGGAGAGGCACTTCTCACCTGGCCCCAAGCTGCTGCAGTGAGAGCGGGCTGGGGTTGTCTTCTCTCCCCAGGGCAGCCTGTATACTGAACCCCTCATTCCCAGCCCCACTCCTCCAGTGCAATGATTTAAAAGAAGCCTGCACATTTTAAAATAAAAAATTGAATGAAGGACCCAGCAATGCCAGGTAAATATTCTAGTTTTGCATATATTTTATTTGCTACATTTAGCAAGTCCCCTTTTCCAAAAATTCTCTCTCTGCAACCACCACCCCCTAAAAAAGATTTAAAAACTTACAGCCCAGTGACTCAAATGAACCATCATCGGAGAGTAAAATCAGTACAGAATATCAGCACAAAGGTCTAGGTCAGGGGTGGGGAACCTGCAGCCCATGGGCCAAATTTGGCCTACAAGGCTCAGAGCTCAGCTCCCTCTCACAAGCTGGTGCCAGTGTTCCATTCCAGCACCAGCTCCCTGCTAGGGTTGCCAGGTGTCTGGTATTCAACTGGACAGTCCGGTTTTTGGGGCCTCTGTCTGGTAAAAAAAAATCCAGAAAATACTGGACATGTGCAATGTCTGGTATTTCCTGGTTTTCCAGCCAGACGGAAGCCTGGTGGGAGAGGGGGGAGTGGCTGGGAGGTGGGGCGCGATCGGCGCTGGGATCCCTGGTTGTGTGTGAGGAGGAGGGTCAGCCCGGTCCGTGCTCCTGTGCGCTAGT